AAACAAAGCAATATTACTTCATTAAACACTGCTCAGAATAAAGTATGAATTGTGTGGATCTGGCAACAAGTTCAAATGTACTGCTAGCATACGAAGAATGAAAAACTGTATTCTCAAGCTTTTATAGAGTGAAAATGTACTACAACCTATGGACCTCTCATTAATCATGCCTTTAAAACTAGTTTTAAAAAATTATGAACTAGATATTCACCCAAAACAGCACGCAGAATGAAATTCTCATTATATATTGTGTATTGCCATCCAAGTTAGTAAAAATCCTAATTAAAATAATTACAAAATGATCACATTGATCGCTTATGAAGCTGTTCACGTATTAAAACAGTCATTTAATAAGTGAAATCTTTTAATGAGTTTCTGTGTTCTTTTCCACACTCCATACTGCAAGCATGTGATGGCCGAAAAGTACTCTTTCACCAAGAACTGTAATCGTTTTTAGACATTTTCTCAAAGTAGTCTTAAACATAGTCATAAACATGGTCATAAAATCAATCCAGCTGTGTTTTACTTTAAGCTCAAGAATCTTCACTGGGATGGATGTCCATGTATAAAGACTAGTGCCTACCCTGCTGAGAGTTAGGGTGCCTTGTTTGCAGTCTCTGCAGCGAACACGCAGTTTCCCAGGCTGGATTCGTTTGCAGATTGTCTTGCAGAACACATAAAAACTGTTGCGATCTTGACATTCTGAAACACAAGCAATAAACGTTAGATTTAAAAAAATACTAAAAGAATTAGGGCTGTCAAATGATAAATTTTTTTTATCAGATTAATGTCACTTTCAGTGGCTTAATCAGGATTAATCACTATTTGCACTACTGCACAGGAATCCTAAACATTTTTTTCTGACATGCATACCAAAAATAACTGGACACAGATAATTTTCATTCTATGTCTGTCAACACAGCCAAAAAATTGTGGTTTAAATCAAGCTGGAACTACACTACACATTGTAATATTTGTCTTTGCATTATCCCACTGCTTTCCTTTTACCAGGATGTAAACTTTGCAGTTTTCAATTGAAAAGAAATAAATAAATGCAGTCAAATCATAGCAGTTGCCTACCACATTTCCCAGGCTTCTTGAAGCTCCGCAGCATTTGCTGGGCTGTGCTTAAAATGACAGACAACTTTGGGAGCCTTGACCAAAGCGTTCACAAAGCCACTGTCAGCAAGACTCACTGTGCCACTTCTCTGCATCATGTGAGCAACACAGTTCATGTGTTCATAGCGTGTGAGTCGAATTGCGGCAGCCATGTCCCAATAGTTGTCGTTCTGCCTTCGATGTCCCACTTACGTGTAATAGACAGGAACTATTCTTTTCAAGCCTCTGCAAAATGACGCTCCTCAGCTGTTAATATAGACTTCAGTTCCCACGTGTCACACTGTGCATGAGTGAAATCCGTTAAAAGTTGATGTAATTAACAACAAAAAAATAATTAAGGCGTTAACGCATTATTTTTGACAGCCCTGGATGCATGAATTCAACTCTTCAATGAGAGGCTTGGACAAGCTATGGTTGTTTATACCAACTGTCAAAAAAAACACAGCTACATACTTTTATTTGAATTAATGCTGTTGAAGCTGTCGCTGTTCTAAGAAGTAAAAAATGCAAATGTAATTCCTATACATTTTTTTTGTTTACAATACAGCTAGCATGTCTAGTCTGTTTCATTGCAGACTTGCTAACATTATACACAGAAATATTTTAATACACCATAAAAGCACCAGTTGAAAAAGCTCACAATCCAATTAGCAAAAAGAAGAACCGGACAGTTTTCTTCAAGATGATTTAGTTTAGTGGTGACCTGTCTTCATCTGTCTCATTCCAGTTAAAGTCAATCATACACACACACGGGCACCCGCTCGTGGATCGGCTTTCTCATTAGAGCTAAAAGCATGGGCCACCAAAGAGGTCCAAGATTCCTTGACATGGCTGACAATAAATCGAGTGGAGTGGGTTTTATACGACATGCAGACTATTATTTATGATTTCTGCAAGATTCCTCCATTATGCTAATGCTTTCACAGGCAGAAGAGCTGGATGAAAGAGGCAGCATGATTGGACCGAGCAGGTGAGTGGGGCAGCAGATTGAAAAGAGAAGGCCGGGCAGAGGACGAATAGTAAAAAGCACCAACATTGTGCCAAATGACAGCATCCACTTCAGGAGCCGCTGAGCTTATGAAAACTCTTTCTGAGAGAGAGGTGTATCAGTGCGGAAAGCCTCAGTGCTGCACAAGCTACTGTTAATGGAAGATATGCAGGTTTAAAATTATTGTGGAAGAAGCAATTGCACAGGAAGAATGGGTTAAAAAAAAAAGAACAAGTCATAGTAGAATTCATCTGAATATATGTATGTATGTGTATGCCCTACACTGAGAATTAACCACACACTCTACTCTCCTGTACCTGTTGGTATGCTCTCTTCTGTCTCGAGGACAGCAGCTAATCCTTCGGTCGTGGTGGTCAAGCGAGAGCTGCTCAAGTCCAGACGAGTCAGACTCTCTATCCGGCTGCTCACTAGCCTGCGCTGGGAGATTGAATCCAGTCGGCTGGTCAGAACCACGTGAACCGTGCTCTGCTCGGGCAGATCGCAGCCCTGCAGACAAAAATACAAACATAGTTCACCCCAAAATAATCAAAACTCTATAATGAGGAACTTTATGCAACTAACCCTGAATGAATGGCTATGACAATCAGAAATTGCATTGTGAATGATGATCTGTGATTCAAATCAATGAGCTATATTCAATCTGTATAGGTATAGGACAACTAGTATGGAAAAAAAAAGATTGTATTCGTAAAAAGATAGGCAAATGTACAAGCTGTTGAAATCATTTTGGAGATGCAGAGGATTGAAGGACCTCATACATGCAGTCTACCACTGAGATACATCCCCACTACACTTGAGACCAACTTAAGGAAAATGTCTTAGGTAATATTTTGGAGGACTCATTTCCAAGTTTCCCAAAAGGTTGGGATTATGGATAAATGTTTGATTCATGTACACTTTTGAAATTTCTTGAACTTTGCAAATTCCACTCATAAAATCAATTTCATCCAATTTTAAGTCTCATACGGACTTGTGGTTAGGATTGTTGGTTTTTCGCATACTCTTATCTTCAATTTTTTTTAGATATTGTGAACTGAAACCAAGACCTCTTACATGCAAACCATGCACGCTATCACTGAGGTACATCTCTTGAAGACTTTTAACACACACACATTTCTCAACTTTTTGAACAACATTTTTACCAATAAGACCTTGTAAAGCAATCTACAAGTTGATTAGAATGACTTTTGAAAAGTCACAAAATTCTTTGAGATGTTGGGAACTGAACCCAGGACAGGAAACATGCAAAGCATACACCACTGAGCTACTTCCCTTACTTACTGTACAAAAACAACTTGTTGAAAATGTATTTGGAGGACCGAATATGGCTCTGATCTCTTTCCTTTACAAGAAAAAATATTTCCCATATGGTTCAGCGGTTAGGATTCCTGGTTTTCACCCAGGCAGTGAAACACTGATGAAACACTGTGTTAGGTCTTGCGTCTCTCAACTTTCTCTTCACAATATCCCACAGATTCTCTATGGGGTTCAGGTCAGGAGAATTGGCAGGCCAATTGAGCACAGTAATACTATGGTCAGTAAACCATTTACCAGTGGTTTTGGCACTGTGAGCAGGTGCCAGGTTGTGCTGAGAAATGAAATCTTCATCTCCATAAAGCTTTTCAGCAGATGGAAGAATGAGGTGCTCCAAAATCTCCTGATAGCTAGCTGCATTGACCCTGCCCTTAAGAAAACACAGTGGGCCAACACCAGCAGCTGACATGGGGGTACTTGACACTGGACTTCAGGCAATTTGCCATTCCAGTCTCCGCAGTCTTCCTTCAGACTCTGGCACCTTGATTTCCAAATGACAAGCAAAATTTGAGCAACAGTCCAGTGCTGCTTCTCTGTAGCCCAGGTCAGGCATTTCTGCCGCTCTCTCTGGTTCAGAAGTGGCTTAAACTGGGGAATGCAGCACCTGTAGCCATTCCCTGAACACACCTATACACTGTAGCTCTGGATGTTTCTACTCCAGACTCAGTCCACTGTTTCTGCAGGTCCCCCATGGTGTGGAATAGGTATTTCTCCACAGTCTTCCTTAGGATCCGGTCACCTCTTCTCGCTGTGCAGCATTTTTTGCCACAGTTTTTCCTTCCCACAGACTTCCCGCTGAGGTGCCTTGATACAGCACTCTGGGAACAGTCTATTCGTTCAGAAATTTCTTTTTGTGTCTTACATTCTTTGCTTAAGGGTGTCAGTGAAGGCCTCCGAGATAGCAGTCTTACCCATGATTGCGGTTTGGAGGAATGAACCAGGCTGGGAGTTTTTAAAAGCCAAAAGCTTTTATAGTTTATAGTTAAAAAGTTTATTCAGATGATTAGGATAATGGCTCATTTAGAAAGCTTTTTCATGTTATGCTAATTTTTTGGGATAGGAATTTTGGGTTTTCAAGAGCTGTATGTCAAAATCATCAATATTAAAACAATAAAAGGCTTGAACTACTTCAGGTGTGTAAATGAATCTGAAATATATGTAAGTCTAATGTTTATCAGTACATTTCAGACAATAATGAACTTTATCACAATATGCTAATATTTAGAAGATCAGGATCTTTTTAGAAGATCCTGTAAAAGCAAAGCATGCGCTCTACCACTGAGCTACGTCCCCTAGTGACAATACAAAATACTAGGTGAAATTGTCATCCCCTACTGCAACATCAAGAAAACTTGTTGATCATGTCTTTCGTAACATACAGGTAGACAGAATAGGCTTCTCATCTCGTTCCATAACAAGGTAAAATAAGGTCAAGCGGTTAGGATGGTTAGGCTGTTAGCTGAAACCCCTACGGACAATAATTCAAAATACTTGATGAAAATGTCTTTGCAATAAACTGGAGCACAGATAAAAGCTCTTGTTTCTTTCTTTAACAAGGTCCCGTTTGGTCTAGTGGTTAGGATTTCTAGATTTCACCCAGGAAGCCCGGGCTCAACTCCTGGCATGGAAACATATCTATTTTATTACTTCTCATCGGTAAAAAGATGCTTAACCTTTTAGTTGATTATAAGGACTTTTGAAAAGCCACAAAACTTTTGGAGATGCTGGGGATTGATCCCAGGACCTCATACATGCAAAGCAAGTGTGCTTCCTCTGAGCTACATCACATACTGATAAATCAGGACAACTTGTTGTTTTTCGTAAAATATTGGCGGGCGAAATATGCCTCTCATGTCAGTCCTTAACATGGTTCCATATGGTCTAGTGGTTGGGTTTCCTGGAGGAACGAATACGCCTCTCATCTCATTGGTTAACCTCTTAAGCCCTGAGGCCTATTTTCCGAAAATCCTATACTTTTACTTTTTAAGGCATTTCTCAGCTTTTACAAGGCCTAAACTGCAAATCTTGGTATCAAAATGAAGATAGGTTCTTGGGGAGTGGTGTGGATGAGTTAATTTGACAGTCAAGAACACTGGGTAAGAGTAATTGATGTTGGAATGGCCAAAAAAATGAACTCCGCCTAAAAAAAACCACATGTTTCCTCCAATATCTCCTTATTTTACTTATAACGAAGCAAATAAACACAATCAATTGTAACCACTACATGTCAAGGACATCTGTAGCAAGTTTGGTGTCCATACTAAAAGAAACTAATATTCTGTACAGGTTTTGATTAAACAAAGTTCAGGCGTAATCCATGTTGGCACAATTTGGCACAATTTGGCACAATAATTGAAATATGGAAAAAATCTTGTCCAAAGCTTCAGCTACGTTCATAGTCTTCTTTTCTTGCTTACTGGACATGATTTCAGCAAAAAAAACTCCTAAAGAAACGCTGTAAAAGGGGGGTGGAAGCTCATTTACCCAATCTTGCTGCGCTTTTGGGAACCTTTCATTCACAAACGCTTTCGACGTTCGAGCTTCTGCGTGTCCCTACCCCCCGACCATCTGTCCAATCCGGGAGATCTATAGATCGCTGGAAAGTTCTGATTCTATGGAAGCCAATGAGCTCAACCATTTTGAGACTGACTGGATCGCCGACGAATCACACGACACGCATCGTGGAGAGACCACCTCTTACGCACGGGGAGTCATTCCATATTTGGTGGCGTAATGACGCCACAGAGCTACAGAAATAATCAAAAATGGCGTTTGCGCGAAGCTATCGACCGGACATAACAACAAACTGACTTTTATCGCTATGGAAATAACTTTTTGTTGAAAAAACGGCAAAGGTAAGACAAGATTTACATGCTTGCTTGGTTTTGCTGGCGTTTTTTCGTGGAACTTTCGCTCCCTGCTCTGAAATACTTCATGCAATGTAAATGAGTTGCATATCGCTGGATTCAGCTGGTTGTTAGCTTTCATTTGATGCCATGGTTTTGGTGTTTCCGTTTATATTGTGGATACATATCGCGCATAAACAAAAACGTGGTCATGAATTATACTCCGACTATGTTGTTGTTTATTTGCATGGCGTTCGAGCTGTGGTTAACGGATATGAAATTGAATTAGATACGTTTTTAGAGGAGTTTCCGCTGAACACAACAGTATTTAATATGTGTGGGTTATTCTCAGGGTTCGTGAGCTATGAGTGAAAATGTAACGCACAAGGAGGCAAGTCCCCGGTACCGGGGATTCTCGGGCTTAAGAGGTTAATAGGGTCCACATGGATAGGATTCCTAGTTTTCGCCCGGGTTCGACTCCCGGTATGGGAAATACACTGTATAACCGCTCATTGGTAAAATGTTTAATCTTTTAGTTGATTATAATGACTTTTGAAAACCCAAAAAGCTTTTAGAGATATCAGGGATTGAACCCAGGACCTCATACATACAAAACATGCACTCTACCACTGAGCTACATCCCATAGTGCAGCAAAAATACACATTGGCAATCATGTCTTTCGTAAAATGTTGAAGGACCAAATACGCCTCTCATCTTTGTGCTTACCAAGCTCCCATATGGTCTAGTGGATAGGATTCCTGCTTTTTACCCAAGTGGCCCGGGTTCGACTCCCGGTATTGGAACATACATTTTATTAGGGGTCATTGGTAAAATGTTAAATCTTTTATTTGATTATAATGACTTTTGAAACGCCACAAAACTTTAGGGGATGCTTGGGATTGATCCCAGGACATCATACACACAAAACAAGCTCGCTTCATCTGAGCTACGTTCCCTAGTGATAAATAGAGACAACTTGTTGCTTTTTGTAATATATTGGCAGACGGAATAAGACTCTCATCTCATTCCTTAACAATGTTCCATATGGTCTAATGGTTGGGTGTCGTGGAGGACCGAATACCCAATTCATCTCATTGGTAAGCAATGTCCTATATGGTCTAGCGGTTAGGATTCCTGGTTTTCACCCAGGTGGCCCGGGTTAGGAACATGCATTTTATAACCGCTCATTAGTAAAATGTTTAACCTTTCAG